TGAGGAGCCGCGCAGCCAGCCAGGAAACACCGCCGCGCGTCGCTTCCTAACACTCTGTTTGCACGTCTCCTCCTCCATGAGTATAGTTTTAAAGCACAGGAACACACTAACCTCAAAAAACGTGTTTAAGATACTCGTAATGAGGAATTGTTGCCGCAGCTGCATTACAATGTGATGATTAAAAGATTTCTTTTTAATCGGTGTCCTGTAGGAAGGGAAATTCCCCGAATTTAAACTCGTGAATATACGCTCTTCTTGCCTTTCAGCACCTTGGATTTCCCCTGCTCCTTGTGGAAAGGGTTTTTTTTCAGAGTCGGTCATCAAAAGAGATGGAAACCCTGTGTTTTGGTATCCACACCTCTACTTCGAAAGATGACAGATGAGCTTACTCTTTGCTGGAACAGCAGATCACAGGTGCATTTTGTGTGTGTTGTACATAAACACTCTGCTTGAATATTTCAATATACTTTACTTGCTTTCTCATCTCCCTGTGTATTACAGGACACAGAGTTTGTCCCCTTTGTTAGGGAAGCCCTTTGTGGGCAGACAATGAAGTGTTCAGTGCTGCAGTGCTTCTCGCTGGAACACAACATGAAAATGCAAGATGGTCTCTGCTGGGTGGGAGGCAAAGTCTGCCTAGCCCTGTGCTCCATGGCCAGATGTGGATGCCCAAGGAGAAGTATTAAGACTATAGAGAGCCCTTAGTGGGGCATTCCCTGAGTCTCCAGCTGTCTGGAGGGACTTCCCAAGACAGAGGTTGTACCTGATTATTTAATAAGCTATGCTGGATTTCTCTCTCATGAACTTGCCTGTCTCCGCGTGAACTCACGTGAACTTCTTCCATGACATGCTGTGGCAAAGCGTTGCTCAGCGAAATGATGTGTAGCCTGGTTTCATCTGAAACCTCACCTTTTATCTGAACCTTCTATCTGCCAGCACCATTTGGTGCCACTTTTGTACTGTAAGACACAGCAATCAAACAATCCCTGTGCATCCCTTCCATAACACTCGTTATGGAAGGCCATAGTTAATTTATGGCCTCTACATGTCTCAGAGACCTGTGTTTCTCCAGGCTGAGGATTTCTACTCTCACAGTCCTTCATGTACAAAGCTCCTCCATTCTATAACACTGGAGTTTAATGTCGGATTTTTATTTTCCTCTTGGAAAAAAGGGGATAGGAAGACGGAAGTAATTATCTAACATTCAGCCTGATTGCCATAAAGTAACCAAGTGAGAAAATCCTTAAGTGTTTGCGTCCAGAGATTCAATATTTGACTTGGACCAAGGAAACAGTAATAGTTGCTCAGTACCATGGACATGATGGAGCGGAAATCATGCTCTTCTAGCTTCCAGAAGTCTTCTCCATCAACAAAGCAATTCTGTCAGCTTGCAAAGTATGGTTTTGTTTTAGCAGAGCTATCATGTATTTCTGGTTTAGTGTTGATCACCTCTGATCCACCACATGAGTCAAAGTCTGTTGCAGGATCCTGAGGAAGACTGTTCTCACTGACGTTCTCTAACATAGCGAACAACAAGCACGTGCACTTGGAGAGGAAGCTATTCACAAAATACCTACAGCGCAGGCTGAATCAGTTTAGTCTGCTTCAAGGCTACCTTGCCAGTGAGTGTCCATCTCCATGGCACATGGCAGGCTAAGCTGAGCGTTACTTCCTTCTGATTCCTGTTGTCCTCACTGAGTGCTTGCAAAAGGCAGTCAGTGTCATTTGCTATAGTTTTGGGTGTACCAATTGCTGCAACATTTGGAGGGCTTGCCTTTCCAGCATTCAGCGTGGACCATCAATCTAATAAAGTACTACTAGACAGACATTAAAAATCCTTGGACTTTTACTGTACCACTGTATACAAAGTAGTAGATACCAAGCAGATTCTCCAAAATTCACTAAGAATGTGTATTGAGGAAGTATTACTATTCAGAAGGTATTATGGTATCTCTGCAAGAATAGTTTTTGAGATGAAACCCAAATGGTTGGTATGGGGCATGTTATTCTCAGTCAAAAGGAAGTAGAAGATGCATTTTTTCCAGTTAGATGTTGATATTAAGCATGTCTGTTAGTGACCATGCTGAGGTAAAATCCAACTTCAATGGAACCAAGGTTCCAGGTTACCCTAAGAGGTACCCAGCTCCTCTGCACTTTCTGCACAGTACCTGAAGGACATGACTGTATACAAATCACACCTGCTGGTTTACAAACTGATAACAGGAGCAGAACAAGTGTCGGGATTGCTCTCCAACATGAAAAAAAAAAAAAGCAAGGAACATGCTTGAATGCTGAGTCCTGAGGGAGCTTGTCATGGGACATTGCAAAAGCTCAGAATGACAAGTACTATACAAAAAAGATCTGCATGGTTCAGCTCAGTTTCAAATAGGATTTTTCAGTGTACAAGATAAATGCAGCAAACCTATGATATTTTATCTGAGATCAATGTGTAATCTACGTTTTTGGGGAAGAAAGGCTTGCATTAAAATGGAAAGTGCAGGAAATGAACACATTTACTATATACTCACTTACAAATAATAACTTGAAACACTTCTCCTCTAATATATACTTCTTTTCTTGCTTTATAACCTGGGATAGGTTTTATAGAAATCTCTGTTCAAAATTCAGTTTTGTCCTATTGCCTGTAAGAATTTCTAGTTATCATCGATTTTTGTTTAAAAAATTCATGCATTTCCATAAGCAAACTATTCCAGTGACAGGAAATCCTGTCAGAAGCAGCAAATTTAAGAGTGTGAAAGAGCCACACAATATCCCACTGGTTGTTTATTCTTCCTATCAAAATCTTAATGTATGTTGCTATAACAAGTCTCTTGCATTCTGTGTGATCAAATGAATTCTAATTCCAGTTAGCCCTATTAGGGCTATATGTGTCTGGCAGATAGTAAATATATCATCTGGCCCTCCTAGTTCCCTTTACTGGTGGCAGACATTGCATAACACTCTTGCAAGGTCAGCCGCACAGACGTTGAAGTATCTTGCAAGTCTGGCTTAATTTCTTTGACGTACAAGAATTTATGCATGTCAGTGTAGGTGAAAAGCTTGAGGGACAAAAAAAACAACCCCAAACCCAACAACAAAACCCAAAACAAAACAAAACCCACCAAAACCTGAAATTGCAAGAGGAAAAATCAAGTTTTAATTCAAATTACTTTGAGAAGCCACAGAAATCACCCATAAAGATGGAAATAATGGAAGTAATTCATCCCTGCTGGACCACCATTGATGTTAACAGATTGACTGCAGGAATGATTTTCACAAAATGCAGTTACTGAATTTTCTTCAGTTACAGGCCTCACACATTAATCCCATAATTGTACTGCTGAGTTCTCCTGGTCAGCAACAGTGATTAAGAAAAAAGAAAAAAAAAGCAGCTTCAGCATGTGCAATTACATTGTTCATCATTTCTGTTGGATGCAGAGCCATTTTCTTGGTACTCGATAGGAATATTTTTCCTCAAAAGTGTCTTTATAGGGGATATGCCAGGTATCACCTGTAGTCTGTACCACACAGTCATAACGTAAGGCAGGCTGTTGAATAAAGACAGAGAAAAACACTTTTTTAGACATTACTCAATATATTACTAAAATACCAATTACAGGCAGTTATCCAACATTTATCATATAAATCTCCATAGATTGATCTCTTTAATAACTCTCATTTATTTCCTTATAACAAACAAATTCTAAATTTCAGTACTGGAGGAAAAACTAAAATACCTTTTAGTATTTTGTGGTCTAGGAGTCATTATAAATGGTTAAAATTCTGTCTTCAATCTCTACCAGATAATAACGATTTGAACATAATGCACTTAATTTCTAGAAATAGCAAAATCGTTGTTTTCCTCTTCAGTTAAATGAAATCATCTGGGAACTAATTCAGGATGTGGAGTTTATAGGCTTGAACTGATAGGATTTAATGATATCTTGTGTTTACTCTTCTCGTGTACCTCTTTAGAGACTGCTTTTTGCTGAGGAGCATGTAAGGAAAGGGTTTATCACTAACACTTTCAAGGGAGTCTAGTTAAACAAATCTAATAAACTATTTTTCTGGTCTATTATGTTACAAGTATACTGACTCAACATATATCACACAAATACAGGAGAAACATTACTGGTTGTCAGTTCTGGTTCTCAGAACATACAATATATAAACTCTGTATAAGTCTACTTTCCCATGCCAATGTCCAGAATAACCTAGAAGACAGCTGTGACTGGGAATGTCAGTCATCTAAGTCAGTTCTATGGGAATTAAGATGTGAAATTTACTAGCTCTTTTGTACAAAAGAAAGGAACAAGGTGAAGCTAAAGCTGTGTTACTCAGGTAACCCTGCCTCCAGTATTTGGTTCCATAAAAGGAAAGGTATGTATGGCAGCACAGAACGAAAGGCTGTCATTCTTGTACGATTGTATCTCTACGGTCTGTTTGTAATAATGAATATTATTTTACCATTTTAACCAGAGCAGCAAGAAAAAATAATATGCATAACTGCAATATTCCTTTAAGTAGGCAATAACAATGCAGACAGACCAGATAACAAAAAACTGCATGATAGGAAATGGTACATGATGAATTTTTCCCTAAAAAATCTTAAAGCAGCCCCACTCCTTAATGTATGTTAATGTACTGCTCATGGCTCACAAGGATACATGTCTCCTAGACAATACCAGTAGTATTCTGCTATAAGATGATACTATGCTTGGAAGACACTAATTTCTACTGCTGAATACTGACTATTAATCTGACTGTTCGGGCTTTCCTTCATGAAACTTCCTACGTATGTTAGGCTAATATTACAGTGAATACTGAAATAACTGTATTTTCTTGCTTCTTTAAAATAAAGGTGAAAGAAATTCTATTAGAATTTCTATTAGAATTTCTTTAGAATTAGAAGCACGGGTTTTTATAGTAGTACTACAGAGGAGTTATTTCAAAGTTTAAAGCAAATGAAAACATACTGGCACTTAGGTTTTATAGCAATGGAAATACACAAACTTGAATTTACATTGTAAACATTATGGCAGCATTTCCTGTCTTTTTGAGAGTTTTCATGCTTGTGGCATGCTCTGTGAACACAGTGAATCTTTAAACATGGGCAGTTTGAGGCTGTTGATACAAATCCATTTCTCAGATAATTTCAAGAATCTTTTTGTTTCCAGAGTTTGCAATTGTGTAGCCTTAATGAATGTGCTCTGTGTGCTTCCTGATTGCAGCAGAAAACTCACCAAAAAATGTATATGCTTTCCTTCTGCAGAGGGGAAAAATGCTATTTGATGTCCACGCTGCCACTTACGGAACAGATGACGTGTCAGGCTGTCGGAAAGGCAAGCCTTGTGATCCCGGAGGAAGTCTCTAGTAACAAACTTGCAATGCTTGCCTGATCGAAGTGTGGCATATAACAAGAAGGCATCATCTTCAGAGCTTAACAAAACAAATGGAAAAGACAGACGTCATTCACAAGGCCGTGAGTAGTTGCAGGAAATGAATCAAATGCTAATCTGATATATTCATCAGCAACACTGATGAATATCCCATCACCATTCCAATTCCCTAGTAAAATAAAGAACTGCTCACCAAAGGCCACTGAAAGTTAGAGTGCAATAAAAATTGACCACATGCTACACAGAGCATTATTCCCTCTTAATACAATCTGATAATACGACAATATAGTGTTTTGCTACAAAACTTAATCAGGTACTATGTGGAACAGAACTGCTAAAACTCATAAGCATATCTCCAAAGCTTTGCTGGAATACAAACAATCATCACAACTGATAATAAAATGTCCTGTAGGCATCAGCACAAATCTGTGAGTCTTTGCCTTTACATGGGTAGATATACTTCCAAAAAGTACTATGGTTATTTGAAAAATATATTCAACACTAGCTGCTATTAAACTGAAAGAGTTTTAGGGAAAAATCTCTAAAAACACATTTCTAGTGGGCATGAGTTGCCCTATACCTGGAGAAGCTGAGCAGAACTTTGCTTGAAACCATTTTTGATTGCTGTGGATTACTGTAATAGATGAGATTAGTGAGGGTCTCCATCCTGGGGTAACAGTGTCCCCTTTCCTGGTGCGCAGATAGCAGGAAAAGAAAGCAATGTAATTCAACAGCAAAGAGAATAAGGGCCAGAACTGGAGTGGGGGGTGTGTGAAGGAGAACAGATCTGGAACAAGGAGGCAGACAGAAGAGACTTGGTCTGGCTGTTGGGACAAGGAATTTGGTCAGAAGTGCTGGGAAGTAGAATCACAAAAGCACGGCAGAGATAGGTTAAGGATTAATAGGGCCCAACTCAGATGGAAATTAGGTGAAGCTGAAACTGAAGGAAAACTGAGACTCATATATTATAGCAGGAAAGCAGGGCACGGAGAGGGGACACCGGGCCAGAGGCAAGCACCTAGTTTAGAGACAAGGACAGCCTGACTGGACAAGAGCAAGGGGTTGCGCTTCCTAAATAGAGAGGCAGAGGGTCTAATTTCCATCCACATAAATGGTCTCCTCTGGGAGCAGCAAGGAAGTCAGTGCTCCAGACTCTCCGTGCTCCTGGACTACCAAGCAATAGTAGCCAGGCATGAACTTCATCTCTTCTCCTTGCAGGGCTAACACAGCTGACCACAACTGTATACTGATGCTACCAGGCATTCTCTAAGTTCAGGCCACTCTGGTGTTGGCAGCGGTTTTAACAGTTTATAAATCCTAATAAACCATATAGTTTACAGGATTCCAAGTGATGAAATTCTTCATAATGCAACTTTTAATCTGTACTGATTTTTGAAGAAAGTATAGTAAGAGATATGATGTTTCTCTTTCAGACACAGCTGGAGATACTGGTAATGGTGCTAAAAACTACAGGAAAATGCACATAAATCAGGTGTTGATCTCCATTACATCGTTTTCTTCAACTTACATATTTTCAGCAAAGAAGAAGTCTGCCTTATTCTGCATCTCCTCCATAATCTCTTTTTTCCAATTTGAAGAGTTAATCAGCATGTGTTTGCGGCCCAGCACAAGCAACCGGGTATTCTTTTTTGCCAGGTAGTTGACAGCATTAAATAGCTGCAAAAAACAAAGCAAACCCAAAGATTTTATTAGCTGTAAAATAGTGTAACAGGAAACAGTTTCATATCTGTGTCTCCATTAGTGGGACTTCTACCATACCCCCATTTCCCACAATTCTTAACTGCATGGAACTAATTTAAATCCCTAATGACAACGAAAAAAAACAACAAACCAATTCACTGTAGGAAGCTGCTCTCAACCACAGAGAAAATGCATTGCTATTATAAACTTTTCCCAGCTCTTACAGCTTAAATGACGTGAGTGAACTCAGGAAGAGTTGTATGGAGATTTTAGAAATTCAGAGTCAGCCGAGGGAACTGAATCACACTGGGATTTAGGTAATATCTACTTTTGGAACTGATTCAGCACTGAAGCCTTTGTTGGTACGAGAGGAGGACCGAGCTCTAAGCCAGCCTGCTTTTCCAGCCCCACCTGTTGTCGAAATTGGAGAACTACATGTGATCTGGGCTGCCCTGCGGGGAGGAAGCAAGCAGCAGTAAGAGGAAACATGCGGCCTCAGGATTAAGGGTTTATGAAAGCCACATCCAGGCCAGCCTCCCACTTATGAACCAACATCCTGAGGTGGCAAATTCACTGCTGCGCCAGCTTCCCTTCAGAGGGACTTCTCACCAGACTCAGGGCTGTGCCTGTTTGGCAATAAATGCTCCTCAGGACTGGCACTTGCGCCTGCAGCATTCCCTCCCTGCTTCACCCAGTTCGGCTCGTGTTCGGCTTCCAGGTTATTCCTGCGGACTGTTCACAAAGCAATGGCATTTCAATTCTGCCCAGAAAGAGAGAACAGTTTCTTGCGACTGAAGCATCATGTTTGAAGGCCAAGGTCAGTGCTCAACCACCAGGGAAAGGCGTTTCCTAATTTTTACCTGCATTTGCTGTATTTGTCAATATACAATCTCCTTATTTTTCTCTAATCCCTTTTCCTACCTTTTCTAGCTACTTCCTTCTCCGCTATTTCTTCTCCCTATAATACCTCCAACCACCTTTCTCCTTCTCTTGATCTTTGCCCTCCTTCCCTCCTTTTTGTGATCTTAATCATTATTTGATACCATTGTCTTCTGGCTCAGGGGCTACAAAGAATTGTTCTTCTAGCTCTGGGGTCCAATTTTACAATGCATTTAGTTTGATCTACCTGCGAGTATCAGTGGATAGGGGTGGTCCGACTCAATCCTCTCTCCAGTTGCACATTCCCACTACTTCCGTTGTGTCAATCTAACAATGTCACAACTACGCATGAGCTCACTAATCCAACAAAAGCAGTGTTTTTGCAGGGTTGAGCCTGCAGCCACACAACTGATAGACCTGAGTCAAAGGTGATGACTGATGGGAACATGTTGCTGGAGGTGGCAGGGAGAAGAAATGTGGGACTGCCCCTCTCTACAAAGGACCTGCAGATGGATCAAGTTAACTGTGCTGTAAGTCTGCATCTGAGCATCTGAGAGAGGAGCACAGAAGATTTTCTACATTACTTTTAACTATTGACCTATAAGCTGCTGTTACCAGCATGGAATGAAGACTCTGTTTTCATGGAGATACAAGGTCTCAGTGCTAATGCAAAGCACAAGAGCCTAACAGTACCTATCAGAACTGACCGCCTGCTTCCAGGAGATTGCACTGGACATCAGCTATATGCTGATATATACACTGTATATATACACTTTTCCCTGGTTAAAACAAACAGGACATAATGTGAGCAGGAAAAGGCCAAATGCAGTAATTTCAGCCTATAAAATGGCACATAAAAATAAAAACTGCATTGTCTCCAGTGCATGACCTGAATCTTTGGAGATACATTTCAGAATTCTTACTGGAACACAGAACTGAAAGATACAAACAAAAGCCACCATCTTTATGTTACTGGAAAGCTTTCAAGTAACTATATTATGTAATAACATATCTCCTCATCTATGTCATATAATTTATTTGATTGTTAAATGAGGTGGTTATTAAAAGTTAGAAAACTGAACTTCGGTTTTTCAATATTGACTTTTTTCTTTAATGTCCTCATCTGGGCAGGAAAAACTGACTCAGCAATTTTACTTGTTTACAGTCACTTTTATTTTCCAGTTCTCATGCACTGGCCTAGTCCTGCAAATAGTTGGGATATCAAAAGAGAATTAAGTTTGTTAAGCTGAATTCGTTAGGCTTACTGTTAGGAATGTACCAACTGCATCCACACACATTTTCATGTAGATAAGTAAACAGTGAAGAAATATCAACCATGAATAACTTAAGCAACCCCTTACAAATTCCAAATGAAAATACTTTCTCTTTTTGCTTAATTTTTTCCTACATTAAGGGAAGGTTAGCATGTGAAAATCATGTGGAAAAAAACCCCAAAACAAAACACAAACTTGACAGCAAGACCATCCTGATGGTAGAACAGAAGAAAGAAGTCCTAAAAACACACTGTGATTCAGTAAGTGTCTCAGGAATGTAGCTGCGCTAGTGGTGTTGCAATGTCAACAACGAATTGCTGGGATTAGAACTCCTGGAGTTTACCCCCAGTTAAAACCATGGAAAGACCTTTTAATTACACTTATGGTTCAACACAAAGGCAGCTGGATTTCCAGATATAGATTGGTCAGTTGGGGCTATTCCCAAGTTTATAAAAAACCTGACTGGCTTGGATCCAGATCCCTTAAGTCTTTTGTACTGAAGGGTGTAACTAGTGGTACTTTGTACCTGTTACTCATATGGACTTTCTTCTCCTATGTATTATCAGCATATGAAGTCCTCTAGTATGAAGTGCTTTTGGCAAAACCTGGGAGGTTGGTAGAAATTAGCTACAGTTTTGCAATGGAAAAACTCAAAATAAGCTTAAATCATAATAAAGTTAACGGGAATCACATTAAAAAATTCAGAAACTCCTGCTAGCGTACCAGCACGCTGTCCCTCCTCTGCTTACCACAGAGATGAACCTTTATTTACACAACTGAAACACAAAAATTATTTTTGCTTTCACAAGATAAAAGTAATTTGTTTTGCACACTCCCTGGCCTAATGCAACTTTACTAAAGAGCTTTTAACCTCATTTTAGGCTTAACAGGGGTGGTCCAAGGGAGCCACAGAAGTTACACAGGGGGCTTCCCTAAGTGTGTCTACTCCCACGTCATGGCTGCTTCTCAAGAAAGGAAGACACGATACACACAGTAACGCCTGGTTTAGTCATAGAGGAAACTGAACATAATACTAACAAAACCCAGCAGTCGCGATCTCGCACTTAAAAAGGCACAACTATTTTATTAATCTGGTATTTCCAAAGGTTTCCTAAAAATTGTAATCTGCCACTATGCAATACAAACATGCTATATGCCATAAGCTCTATGTAGATGCACCCTTTGAATGTTCCACATTATTTAGGTAGCAAACATCAGATGCTCGGTTGGATAATCTGTTCAAAACACAATCTATATAAAACATTAAAAAATATACAACACACATTCCGTATGCTATTCACCTTCCTGAGAAAGAGGACTACAAAATTAGCACAAGATTTCCCCCTCTCCCTCTGTTGTGCAGATACGATCCATTTATTGGGCCATGTTGTCAACCCGATCATGGCACAATCACACCCCAGGGCAGGAACCTCTGCATCAGAGGAGCTGGAAATGAAAAGAGGTGGAGAATGCTTACTCCACAGGATCATGCTGATGTTGAACTCCTCATATCATGTAAAAAGTCCAAGCTTTGCAAATATGAAATAAAGCAACTGAAAGTGCTGTAACTGGGAGCATTTTAAAAATCAGCAAGTTATACTTTAAAGAACCACTTTTCAGGTGAAAATAATATTAACAGTTTCCAATCAGAAGGAAACTTTTCTATACAGTTTCCTGGAAATAGGTTTGCAGTGACCCACATTCATAATTCTGCAGAATTTAATGGAGATCAAATACTGGGAGAAGCTGGGAGAGCAGGGAATCCTATTCACACTGCAAGATTAATCCTCATTCTTTAAATTTCACAACAGCCTTATGAAGTAAATGCATCATTACATCTCCGTTTTACACAAGTGCATAATGGAGCACAAGGAAGACAGATTAATTACCTCATACAAAGAACTGTGAGCAGAACACAATACAAATTTCCTAAGGCTTTAATGCCTGTCACCTGTTTGGATCACTACATCATGCTGTGCCAAGGTGTCCTGGTTTCAAAGGTTAGTATGTTGTAGAATAGCTTTCCCCTTGCACATTACTGGTGGCTTCCCACTTGTCAAATGGGAAACCCCTAAACACTGCTGCTGGGAGGCACACCATTCAGTGATTCAGCAAAAAGTGGTTCACCTGTATACAGGTACAGCATGAAGAAGTAATCACCCTCAGAATTTAAATTGGATTTGTTATTAACAAATCATGTTTGCCATCCTCTAAATATCTGGTTTCACTAACTGCCATTTAAAAGCAAAACACGCCTATAATCAGATTATTTGCTAGTAACAGCAACAAACTCCCGTATCGTTGTTTTCATCTGTTGTTATTGCTGCCTCTCACCCAACACTGTAGCTCTGAAACTGCAGAGGAAACCCCAATGCTGACCACAGGTACAGAGCTACCGTAAGTACACTGTCAGGTGGGGCTGAGCATGAGCATTCTCTCCAAAGGTTAGCAAGGAATCAATTCTCACCATCACCACATCTGTGTGACTTACAGTGTCATCAGTTTTAGATCCCATGTTACATGCTGTAGCCAAAGAAGTTCAAAAAACCAAGGGTGCTGCTTACAAGAAAGGCTGGCCCTTCTCACTGAGCCTGGTGATTTTACCAAAGCAGATTCAACACCATTATCACAGCACCAAACACAATGGAAACTGCTTCTTACATTCTGTACATTATTACTGATGACACAGTGTGAATTAGTCTCAAAGTCTTTTTTACTCAACTACAGGGGTGGCATACACATTTCTTGACCTCCCTAAAGATTATCAGCCCATGACTAGTAAGGGGCAGGTACTTAGAAGAGAAAGAAAGGAAAAAAAGGGAA